CCTGTTTTGCGAGCGCCGCCTCAACCTCTTTGGCTCTTTCTTTGGCTTTTTTCACGTCATTATAAATGGTATTAATTCGTCGAACTTTGTCGGCATCGATGCCACTGATGGCCGACTGTCTGTACCTAACAATGAAGGGAACGGTGCACTGGTCTTCAATTAGATTCAACACATTCTTCACAACATTGCGCTCCAGTTTCACACATTCGGAGATCAAATCGATGTCATTAACGTCCGAACTGTCAACTAATGTATCACTAGATGTTGAGGGCTTTGGATCGTTATATATGAACGGTATCTCTTCATCAATTTTTGGCTCAAATGTACTGTTAAACCGATTAGAGCTCAAGGAGATAGAGGTTGACTCAACCGACGGGTTATAGAGATTTCTATTCGACGAAGAAGGGGATGAATAGCCGTCAATATTGTGCGAAGAGTTTGCGGTTTTATGAGTTTGTCGTGAAGCGCCTCTAATGCCAGATGAAGTGCTCGGCTCTAAGAATGGTATATATGATTGTGAGGTATATTCTGGAGAATAAGACCGTTTCGGAAGAGATTTTTGTCCACTTTCGGTCAATTTGTTTAGCTTTTAATTAGAAAAACATAAATAATTAGATTATTTCAAAATAAATGAATTGATATCTTCACTAGTCTTTAGTCACTTGTGGTTAAAACATAGACTTAATAAACATGAGTCAATACTAACTTTAGCAGTAAATGAATCATTAATTATCACACAATCTTCCTCTTCATCGTCACTCAAAGCGATCACATCTTCAGTCTCGTGGATCTGCTTCTCTGATTTCATTTGTAGATTACTTTCTTCAATGACCTGAATCTCATCATCAGATTCTTGGTCTTCTCCTTCTTCGGGCAATTCTTCGGCCACTTCTTTGTTCACCTCTCGATCCATACGAGCGTACATATCGTCGATAATCATACAGTCCTCGTCCATGTCGTCGTCGTCCGAGTCTTTGTTACAGATGTTAACCTCAAGATTGTCGACGTCTTCGTCGTCATCGACGGCACGAATATAAGTCTCTCTCTTTGAATGACCGGAAAAATCACGTGAATTGCGGCCATAAAAGGATGTGTTAACGCATGTCGAGAGCGGTATATATGAGTCCGAAGTATAAACGGGAGAATTGCATCGTTTCGGTGCCAAACGGGTCCCCAATTGTGGTTTCAATTGGTTTGTGTCGTCCGTCGGGACACTCGACTCGCAACGCATGTCGAGAGCGGTATATATGAGTCCGAAGTATAAACGGGAGAATTGCATCGTTTCGGTGCCAAACGGGTCCCCAATTGTGGTTTCAATTGGTTTGTGTCGTCCGTCGGGACACTCGACTCGCCGTCGACCACGTGTTGGCCATCACTCGTGTCCATCGTGTCATCCAATTTGGGTGTTGTGTCCACGGAATCGATCACTGAATCCAATACTTTGGTCACACTTTCTTCAATTGTGTCACTCTTTATGTATTGTATATCACATTCACTGCAATTGTCTGAATCCCAATCGTCTGATTCATCGATGGCTAAGAGAACCTCTGTCTTCAGCGGCGGTTTAGCCATCACTTCCTCTAATGTTTATCACAATTGACTGCAAGACATGGTTTCAATCAAATCAATGACAATAACAACTCATTTAACCGTAAATTCAAACAAAAAACACAACTTTTTTATCACAAAATTAGCGATAGTTTTGAGTGAAAAACACAATTCGTGTCAAAGTGTGAGGCAATCGGTGTCTCATTACTGACCATACATTACGTCCAATCATTTGCCCACAAAATGAACACATTTTAGGCACAAATAGTGTTCGGCCATTTATTCCAGATTGCGGGCATTTGCCATTATTGCGGGCACAATGCCGGTCATTTTTGGCCATATAAAATTGTGGCCAAAGTGGGCATATGGCCAGGTTTTTTGGCGTTTATGCG